TGTGGTGTCCTGGATGGGATTCTAAAATAGAAAAATGACATTAGGCAAAAACCAAGGAAATGTGAATAAACTACGGACTTTGGTTAATAATGTATCAATATTGGTTCATTAATTGTAACAAATGCATCCTACCAATGTAAAATGTTAATAGATGAAACTGGATGCAGGGGTTTGAGAACTGTTTGTACTATCATCTCAATTTTTCTATAAATCTAAAATTTGTTCTAAAAAAAGTCTTTTAAAAAAAAATTTATGTGGGAATACAAAGAAACTGCAATTAACAAAAACTTGAAAAGAACAAGTATATAGGTGACATATACTTAATTACAAGGCTTGCTATAAATGTAATCAGGATAGCGTGATATTTGTATATGGATAAACAGATAAATGGAACAAAATAAGGAGTCCAAAAAAGACCAAAACTTACACGGTAAATTTATTTTTGACAAAGGAGGCAAAGCAATTCAGGAAAAAGGAAAACCTTTTCAACAAATGGTGGAATTGAATATCTAGGTGAATAACTCACACCACACACAAAAGTTAATTCCAGACAGGCCAGGACCTAAACATAAAAGTTAAAAATTATAAATATTCTAGAAGAAAACAAAATTTCTCCATGACCAGGCAAAGATTTCTTAGAAAGACACAGAAAGAAATAACCATAAAACAAACAAAATGGTAAATCAGTCTTATGAAAGTAAAGACAATTTTATTTTTAAAAAAGGTGAGATAAAATTGTATAATATAGAATAAAAGTAACCATAAAACAAACAAAATGGTAAATCAGTCTTATGAAAGTAAAGACAATTTTATTTTGAAAAAAAGGTGAGATAAAATTGTATAATATAGAATAAAAGTTTATATAATTATAAAGATATACATGAGCATACACACACACACACAGTTCCATATACCCACCGTACTCCTTTCTGTTAATATAGGCTCATCAGTTGTAACAAATGTACCATTGTTGATATGCATGTGTTGGGGCAGGGGGTATATACCTGGAATTCTATGTCCTCTGCTTCACCCACATGAAAAAAAACCGTAAAAACGTAAAATTGAATTCCTACCTTATACTTCAAAAAATAAATTCCAAATAACTTAGAGATTTGACATTCAAAAATCCTCTAAAACTGTTAGAAAAAAGATTACTCTATGACCTCATGGTACAGAAGGCTTTTAATGACACACACACCCCCAACCAAAAAAAAAAAAAAAGAATAAAGGACAAGATATACTGGTTTGACTTAAAAATTGAAAACATATAAAAAAATGTATCATAAGCAGATCTCAAAGACAGGTAACAAACTGGAAGATACATGCAATGTATATAACAGGAGGACTAGTATCCAGAATAGGCAAATTACTCCTGTAACTCACTAATAAAATGCCAAACAGCCCAAGAGAAAATCAGGCAAAGAATACATACCAGTGATTCACCAGTGAAGACATCGGAACTCCCAATACACATATATGAAAAAAGTGCCCAGACTCATTATCAGTTACAGAAAAGCTTATTAAAATAATATTTCTCACCCATCACATTAGCAGAAATTAGACAGTATCAAGTGTTGACAAGGAGGTGGAAAATGGGAACTTTGAATATGGCTAGTGGGACTGAAAAACAGTAGAGCCATTTCTTCTAAAGCCCAGAGATGCACATCTTTTGACAGAGTACAAGGAATGATGAAAACCTGTTCCCTGTAGCACTGTTTCTGTAGGAAAATACCAAACACACCTAAATGTCCATTAATGAACAAAATGTGCTATATTTATTCAATAAAATCGTGGTTATAATTAATTAGATTTGCACTTATCGGCAGCCCAAGACATAAAAACTAAAAGAATAGAGACAGCTTGACGATATTTGTGTACATTTTTAAGGCAAAACCCAATGCCGTTCCCTTACGGACACTAGATGAAAATGGAAAGAACAGATGAACATACACAGACGCACTGCAGTAGTTGCCTCCGCAGGGGACCTACACTTCAAGAGCTGGTTAAAGGAAACTCTACTTACATCTTAACATTTTATTTCTTTAAAAAAAAGAAGAAAGCTTACTCTGGACAGAGAGAATGTAGATATTTATTATCTGTAGTTTTCAGGTATATTTTCAAGTTTTTATTTACAGTATTCTTTCTCTGATGCTCAAAACATGCCCTCTTCCACCAATAACAGAGAGACTGGAAAGGTGGGACACACTGACAACAATATCATACTGAACTTTATACATGATTTAAATGATGTTCAAAGTAAATTTTGACTATACTGAATCTAGCCTTAACTGACAACTTCAGTATTAATTCTCTTACATGTTGAGACCCACAGCATCCATCAACATGGTGACTTAACAGCAAACTACACGTCAGATACATTCTTCATTTAGATACGGACTTTTGAAGGACCAATCTAATTTACAAAACTTAATTAAAATCTCTTCTCCAGTGTCACCTGGCAGAAAGAAGACACAACTTCATCAATACTCTCCACAAGATGGTGAGTGAGAATCACAGAGCATCGCTGAGGAAACTGGCTGCCGAGAATGACATTTTGAAGGTTTTGCTGGCTGGACGATGTGTTCCTGGAAACCCACTCCTAGATCTTTCTTGAAGATTTGAAAAGGATTAGTTTAGGGCCATGGGTACACAGAAGGTCACCCCATCTCTGATCTTTGTAATTGCCATTGCTACAATAGGCTGTTTCCAATTGGGCTACAACACTAGAGTCATCAATGCTCCTGAGAATATCATTAAAAACTTTCGAATTACACTATGAAAGAGTGGTCAAAGGACTCTCCCCTCTGAGGTACTGCTCACAAACCTCTGGTCGGTGCCCGTGGCCTATTCTCTGTTAGTGGTATGATTCACTCCTTTTCTGTTCAATTCTTCATCAACCGCTTCGGCAGGCACAATTCAATACTTATTGTCAACCTAGTGGTCATCACAGGTGGCAGCCTTATGGGATACTGTGAATTAGCTAAGTCATTTGAAATGCTGACCCTGGGCTGCATCTTCTGTGGACTCTGCACAGGTTTCGTGCCCATGTACAATGGAGAGAAATCTCCTCCTGCCCTATGGGGAGCCTTTGCTACTCTCAATCAGCTGGGCATCATCATTGGAATTCTGGTGGCCCGGATCTTTGGTCTGGAAGTCATTTTGGGGTCTGAAACTGTACTTCTGGCTGCACTTTTACCACCATTCTAGCTGTCCTACAAAGTACAGCCCTATGCCACCACTGGTGCGGCTGTATCTTCTCTGTAGTTTCTCTGTTTCTGGTGGAAAGGGCAGGAAGAACTCTACATGTGACAGGGCTTGGAGGGATGGCTTTTTGTCCCGTCCTCATGACTGTTTCTTTGTTATTAAAGAACGAATATAATGGGATGAGCTATGTCTGCATTGCAGCTATCTTGATCTTTGTGGCTTTCTTTGAAGTTGGACCAGGCCCCACTCTCTGGTTTACTGTGGCTGAACTCTTCAGCCAGGAACCCCACCCAGCTGCAATGGCAGCAGCTGGTTGTTCCAGCTGGACCTCCAACTTCTTGGTTGGACTGCTCTTCCCCTCGCCTATATTCTCTTTAGGAGCCAATGCTGTCATCGTCTTCACCTTCTTCAAAGTCCCAGAGACCCATCGCAGGACTTTTGAGGACATTACGCAGGGCTTTGAAGGGCAGGCGCAGGGGTTCAGTAGATGTGGAAAAGGCCACATTATGGACATAAACAGCATCCAGCCTTTTGAGGAATCCACCACTGATCTCTAAGTCATGCCTCCTTCCTCCTGCCTCCCAACATGGAAAAGCAACTTCTCCCTACATGAGGGAGAGACCAGGACTGCTTCTGAATGCTGCGAGTTGAGTCCTTTCTCATCCCAAGCACTCCACGAGCACTCAGATTAACCCAATGCTGGGACTGGATTTTCACTGATTTTTAAAATATTTCATATCTTGGACATTCTCTTCTGCTTAGGAGAGACCAAGTGAACCTACCCTCTATTTCAAGAGGGATTGGCCACTTGGCATGTGACAACTTTGTTTTTTTCCTTTTCTGTTGGACTCTTCGTCAACCTTAGGTTCTAATATTGCCTCATTAGGTTCTAATAATCTCTAATTCTCTAAGTCAACTTTTTTTGGTGTTTTTTTGTGGGGTTTTTTTGGCTTTACTAGCTTCCATTGACTTGCTTTTTTCAAGGTATCTTTTTAGAAAAGGCTGTTCTTTTATCTTTTGCTCAGAGATTCCTTCTTTAATGTTTTTTAATCAAATGATATCTTGCAATCCTAATCTGCACCTATCTACATTCAGGCCCTGTGGAATTAAAAATTCTAACAGTTGATTTCTATGTAAAATAAAAATCTGTGTCATTTTAATTTACATCAACTTATGGTAGTAAGAATTTTTCATTTAAAGGGTCTTTTAAATATAATGCAGTCACTATAAATATGCAATGGGAATTAGTCTTTCTTCTAAGCATGGGATGAGATAGTAAAAAACATATAGTATCTTACCAAGAGCTGATAAAATAGGCTAGATTTTTTAGAAATTAAAGAAAAATATCAACATTTAAAAAAGGGAAAGAAACATAATCACAAGGTTATTAATTTCCCAACTTGCAATACGGAGTTCCTTCATCCTTTTACAACCTAGAGATTAACTGAGCAAAGCAGTATAATTTCTCCAAAAAATGCCAACTCTACTCAGACAAAATAATTCTAAACTGTTTTCCATTAACGTTTTATGCGGCTATGATTTCACTGGAGCTGTATAATCTGTTTTTTAACTGTTTCTAAATCAGCATTAGCAGAGGACAGAAATAAATAAAGCCAAAAGAGGCTCGAAATTGTTAGATTTCGATGTAGATTTAAACTTAGCCAGTTTCAGTCACTCCATGTAGATGATCCTGTAGGTTCATACAAATACACTGAATTTTTGGTAAAACTTTGCTTCCTTCCTCGAAGTTTATGATAAAGAGACTAATCCCTGTGTTGGGACTAACTGCACTCCCTCAGAGGCTCGAAATTGTTAGATTTCGATGTAGATTTAAACTTAGCCAGTTTCAGTCACTCCATGTAGATGATCCTGTAGGTTCATACAAATACACTGAATTTTTGGTAAAACTTTGCTTCCTTCCTCGAAGTTTATGATAAAGAGACTAATCCCTGTGTTGGGACTAACTGACATAAGTTCGGATTTGCTCAGAGTTGCTGGTAAGGAACACTTAAGGTCAGTCAGAAAATAACCAAACAGGCTTTTCATGTAAGCACCATGACTCACAACTAAGACGCTCGCTACTAATCCTGGAGTGCCGCTGTCTGAATTAAATTCAGAGCCACAGTTTTTTCCTAAAGGAAATATTTCTGCCAAAGAAGTCTCCAGACATTTGCTTGGAGCTCCTTGAGAAAAATGTTCTTTTAGACCTACTTCTTTCAGGATTCGTTGACAAAGAAATTCAAAAAAATCTTTTCCACGCATTTTCACCTACGAGAAAAGAAATAAAAGGTGAAATAAAGTAACATTAATGACTTCCTTAAAACATAAACATAAAACAGAAATGAGTGGAGTTTTTTCTAATATGTTAACATTAACTGCACAAGCAGATGAATCTCAGTCTATACTTCTATTCGTTCCATCAGCAGTTCCAGACATGAGTGACTGCCACAATATTTCTTGAACTATGAAATCACACTGGGGACAAAGATGAGGAAGACACAATTCCTACTTCCTGACTTAAAGCACTCATAGTCTAGTTAGAGAAATCTACAAGCACACAGAAACCCATAAAATAGTGCTAACAGGAAACTATATGTATCTGGCTGGCACTTCAGTTCAGTTGGAACAACAATAAATGTTTCCTAAAGTCTTTACGTAAAAATTGTGAAAATAAAGAATGGGGGAAAAAAATCATCAATAATACAATTCAAAGCAGAACACTCCAGAGAAACACAAGCACAGGGATGGTGTCATTAACAGAGCTGAAGAGGCACAGACAGAGGCGTGAAGATGTCGTGTCTTGAGTTATTTTGCTCTGAGTGACTTACTTATCACCCTCCTTGAACAGCACCACTCTTGCTTTACTGACTACTACCACTGCTTACACTACTGCTTCACATGCAGAGACTTTTTTTCAAGTACCACCTAATAACACATTTCCTTAAATCCATTATTGGCAATGACTGCCATGTTAACAGTGAATGAGAAACACAGGATAACTTAAAAAGAAAAAAAGAAACATCATGTGTGGCGCCGAACAATCATGCAGCTGTTTTATGAACAAAGCAACTTTCAAACTGCTTAAAAGTCAGAAATATCTAATTTACAAATGAGTCAGGTTTCAGCCATTCTGACACTGGCAAGTTCACCAACATGGCAACTTGTACCCATGCTACATACCTGGTCTAATGTCTCTGCTCCTGGTGGTGTAAAGACAGGAATTTCTTCCCCAGCTGCTTTGGCCATTGCCCTTAGCTCACTTAGAGGCTTGCCTTCTGCAACCCCATATTTCTGCAATGGTCCAATAGATAAAAATGCCTCAAATGAATTTGCAATACAACAATTAAGTATGTGTTTATGGCAAATTTGGAGCAATCACACCAGGAATAAGCTTTGTTTCCTTCACTTACTTTATTGTACCTCCTATGAACTGATAATGGAAACGTACTCAGTAGAAGGCCATGAACCCTAGAAAACACAGTTGAAGTCTTGAGTTGTACACTATGCCTGAGTGGGTTGTTTGAGACAACTTACTCAAGCTAACTTAAGTAGATGATGGGGACTTATTGGATAAATGTAGGGATCTGCACAGATTCCAGGGCTAGAGACTAACATGTGCAAGGCACCAAGTCAGCTGCCTCACATCCACACACATATTATCTCACTTGATCCTAATAACAGCATTATAAAACAAGAATATTGACGTATCTCTATATTTATGAGCAAGAAAGCTGAGTTTCAAGAGGGGTTAATCAACTAGCCTACATTTTCACAGCCAATAATTAGAAGAGTTAAAATTCAAACCTAGATCTGTGTGACTTCAAAGCTCATTAGCTTTCTAGATTCATTAAGACTGAAGCCGAGCAAAGGCTATATGAGGTACAAAAGAAATACAAATGTCCAGGAAACATGGGTATCTACTTCATTAATAATCAGTAATGTGGGAATTTAAATAGCACTAAGCCATTAAATAGGCCAAAGAGATTAATAACATCAAGTATTGGTGTGAAAAAGCGAACTTTCCCCTCGATCATTCACGGGAATATACATTGGCACAGCTTTCCCAGAAGGCTACGTAAGAATACATATAAAAGCCTTTTTAAAAAGCGCACACTCAGCAGTTTCCTTTCCTAGAAATGATAGAATTAATCACAGAGAAGTTTATTTTAACATTATTTACATCAGTGGAAAATCTAGTCACAACCTAGATGTCCATCAGTAGTAGCAGGGTTACATAAATTCTGCATACTCATATACTGGAATAATACAGCCATTAATCAGGAGATCGTATTGATGTGCATTTGTGGTTACTGAAAAACAGTGATTACACAATAAACGGGAAAAACTGGCTTAAAAGCAATAGATAAAGTAGGACACCATTTAGAAAAACATGTACCCAAACAGCTAGATAGATAAAGACAGACAAACACGAAAAAAAGGAACACACATACCAAAATGTTCACATATTTACCTATGGCTGGTAGAAATTTTAACGGCATTTTTTCCCCAAATTATTCTCACTTTTTAATTCCCTACAATGAAAATGGATGGTTTGCATAACAAAGTATTTAAAGAGACAAATGGTTTGCACTGAAGATGCCAAAAGATTCTCACACCATCATCAGATAAAGTCCAGTATTATTTTTATAAGGCCATAAACATATTTTGCTATAAAGTCAGCCACTCTTCCAATCTTAAAGTCCAAATTCTTCTAACCTCAATTATATCTGGGGCGATCTCTATTACAAACAGGGCCATTAAAAATCATCACTCGCTTTGTTTCTACAAGAATGGAAACATTCATTCATGAAATATTCTGAGTGCTACTATAAAACACATTAGGCAACAAGGCCACAGTGGTGACGAAGCCAAGGAGTGACACACAGCTCCCCACCCTCGATGAGATCACAACTAACTCTAGTGAGGAAGTGCCATGATGGGAGGAAATAAAGGACACAGATACACGGAGGAGAGATGTCTAACCTGGACTTGGGGATCACAGAAGACCAAACCCTTAGAGGTGAGCAGAAGTTGGCCAGGTTCGGGGAGAGGATGTTCCAGGCAGAGTGGTGAACAGATTCAGAAGTTCAGGGAGGAAAGAGCCCTGGGTGTTTGGGCAACTCAGAGAAGATCCATGGGAGGCTTATGATCAGTGGTCCACAGCATGGACTTTAGGGCCAGGTGGCCTCCATTTGAATCCTAGCTCTGCAGCTTGCTAGCTATGTGATCATGGAAATGGACTTGGCCTCTGTGTGCCTCGGTTTCTGCATCTGTAAATGGGGATTAGAAAATCTTTACAACATCGGGTTGTTGTGAAGATGGGAAAATCTGTGGTGCTTGGCCCAGTGCCTGCCCACAGCAAGTGCCACGCAGATGCTCACTAACGTTACCGAGGTGGGAGCGCTAAGCACAGGGGAAGCAGGAGGGCAGGCTGAGGCAACAGATTAGGTCACACAGCACCTTGAGAGCCAGGTTGAGTTGCAGCCTCCTCTTGAAGGTAAAAGAGAACTACTGAACTGTTTTATACAGGGGCGTAGCAGCCACATTTTCAAATGATTACTCTGGCTGCACTGTGGAGATTGGATTGGAAAAGAGGGTCCAAGACAGAACACAAGAGAATCGCAGGTATGGTGACTGAGGTGAAGGATGGCACTAAACTGCAACAGGATGGCAGCAGTGGATTTGCAGAGAAATGAAGAGATTCAGGAACTATTTGGAGGTAGAAATGACAAGACACTGATAGGCTGACATCGTGAAACACAGAGAAGAGGTGAAAATGAATGGTGTGAGCAACTGGGTAAAGCAAGAGCAGGTGAGAGAAAAGGCAGGTGACCCACTGAGTTGGATGGACGTGGCTATGGGGCACACACAAAGAAATAACAGGAGAGAGTTTAATATGCAAGTGTGCAGTTCACGTGAGAGATCTCAGCTAAAAATATGTACTTGGAAATCATCAGGCTATTAACAAAAATCACAGGAGAAGATGAAACTACTCAGGAAAAGAGCAGAGTGGGAAAAGATGGCCTAGCCCAATGAGGACACTTTTGCTGTTATGAGATGGCAGGCCCTGTTCAGTGTTCTACTGCGCGGAGAACAGTTTTGCTTAATGATATTTGAGCACCGGTTCTCAGGCAAAGAGTGAGCCTTTCCAAGCAGCATTTATGCTGGAACTTTCACATATATTCTGAACTATGACAGAGAACACATGCAAGTTATGAAAAGCAATTCTTTAAAAATGCCCTAGCCATTTTGTTACATTTCTACCTGGGTATAAAAGAAATCACAGAGCTAGCAGGGACAGTAATGAGCTTATAGGTTAGTATTACAGAGCAGAATAAAAATATTGCTCCAGGAGATGACTTGGATTCAAATCCCAGATTTGAAATTGCTATATGGCTTTAGCTAAATCACAGCTTCAGGAAGATTCATTTCTATTATATAAAATGGGCATAAGAAAATCTACTCATACTTAAAATTGGGAGTAGGATGGGAGGGGAGAACTTTTTCACTTTAAACTATTTTGTACTACGTTAAGTCTTCTTTTATAATTTAAGATGCTTATCTCATATGATTTCAAAAATTAAACAAGATACTATATGAGTATGTAACCGTGACTGCCCTGTAGTATATTCTTGACATGTTAGCTGATTCCAAATCCCTAGCAGAAATGCATTTAATTTTTAGCCACGTGATAAAATGAGGTGATTTACTGATAACTTATGGTAAAGAACAACATGTAAATAAGTTGCTTACCCTTTCTCGAAGTCTTGAATCATAATTTACTGTCATATCTTTGCAAAATTTGCTTTTCTCCAAAATCCCATGCATGGTCTGAAAATTAAAGACAACAGTTTCTTTTCTTATAAAAATAATCACCATTCTGGCTGAAAGGTCAAAATACTGCATGTCATCTTAGTGAACAAAAAAGAACTAGAAACAATTTTCCTTTGCAAGAGTTGTCCCTCTCTTACACTGCTTATCCTTTTGTCTCTTCATGTCAGATTTTGATCTTTTCTCCTAACCTATCTCACAGTTCAGAGGTCAGCAAACTACACCCCACAGGCTAAATCCAGACTATCACCTGCTTTTGTATTTACTTTGTTTTATTGTTTATTTTGTTTTATTAGAGCAGCCACACCATTCATTTATGTATTGTCTATGGCTGCTCTTTCACACAACAGCAGAGTGGAACAGTGTGACAGAGACCATATAGACCATAAAATCTAACATATATATCATCTCATTCTTTACAGAAAAGGTTTGCTAACCTCTGTTCTAGTTCCTTAATTCTCCATTCAAGTGGGTCTAAATTGCTATTAAACCCATTCAATAAGCCTTAATTTTAATTATACTTTCAGTTTTAGAATTTGCATTTGATTCTTGTTTATAGTTTGTTTACAGTTTGTTTACAGTTCTCTGCTGAAATTCTTGATGTAGTCTTTCACCTACGCATAAAATGGTTATTTTAAAGCCTATGTCTGATAACTGCAGTTATCAGAAAACTCTGTGGCTGCTTCTGCTGTCTTTAATTTTTGCTCAGTTTTGCTCATGTCTCCTCTCACTGTATGTCTGGTTATTTTTGATTGACGAGACACTGTATTTGCAAAACTGTAGGCACAATTTAAGTCCACAACCTGCCTAGTTTTTTAACCCTTTTCCCCACAAATTAGATATTATCATTATTACTGTTTTATATAGTGTTAATATTTCTTTACATTTACCTGTACCCTTACCAACTTTTTTGTTCACCATTCTTTTCTGAAACTCAGGTCTTCCTTTTGGAGTTATTTTCCTTCTCTTTAAAAATTACTTTAGAGCCTGTTTGTCTGAAATGTCTTCATTTCACCTGTACTCTAGAAAATTTTGCTGAGTATAAAACTCTAGGTTAATCCTTATTATCTCTCAGCACATTAAAGAAATCATTATTGGTACTGACAAATATTGGTCTTTAGTGGATGTTTTTCCACCTTATTCTTTGTAATCTTACAATTTTGCTATGATGGATGTAGATGTGGATTTCTTTTCTTTATTTATCCTGATTGGGATTTGTTACACTTCCTAATCTGAGAATTTGGGTCTTTCAGCAATTCTGTAACACTATCAACTACGACCTCTTTGAATATTGCCTCTTCCTCGTTCTCTGTTATCTCCTTTTGAAAGACATTAGAATTTCTCATCATGCTCTTCATGTCTTTTTAAACTCTCGGATTTTAAATGTCACACCGTGCTATATCTAGGTTACTATCTTATGTTTATCTGTAAGTTAACAATCACTTCAGCTATGTGTAATCTATAATTTAGTATACCCACTGAGGTTTTTGCTTTTTAATTTTTTCCACATTCTTAAATCAACTTTACTGATATAATTTACAAAAATAAAATGTACCTATCTTAAATACACAGTTCACTGAGTTTTGGTAAATGTACACATCCATTTAAGTACCACCAAAATCAAGATATAGAAAAATTCCATCACTCCAAAACATTCCTTTGTGCCCATGCCAATAAATCCCTCTCGTCCCTGGCCCCAAGCAACCACTGATCCACTTGTAACTGCAGATTAGTCTTTTCTAGAGTTTCATATAAATGGAATCATACAGTCATACAGTATGTACTCTTGTGTCTGGCTTCTTTTACTTAGCATAATGTTTTTGAGACTCTTCCATGTTGATGCATGCATCAGCAACTCAGTCTTTAATGCTGAGTTGTGTTACACTGTATGAATACATCATAGTTCAGTTATCCATCCACCTACTGATGAATACATGTGTTGTTTCTACTCTTTGTCTATTACAAATAAAGCTGCAATTAAACAGCTGTGTACAAGTCTTTGTGTGGACATATGTTCTTATTTCTCTTGCATACATTTCTGGGACTGAAACTGCTGGATGATACAGTAAGTGTATATTAAACTGTCAAACTATTTTCCAAAGGAGTTGGTTCATTTTGCATTCTCATCAACACTGTATGACTTCTTGCTGCTCCACATCCTTTTATATTTTTAATTTTAACTCACTGTGGTTTTAATTTGCATTTCTGTGATGATCAATGATGCTGAGCATCTTTTCATGTCTATTGGCCTTCTATGCATCTGCTTTTGTAAAGTACCTGGTTAAATTCAACTCTTTTTCCCATTTTAACATGGAGCATTTGTCTAATTACTGAGTTAAAAGAATTTATACACACATGTACACATACTTTGTCAGATACACAGACACACAACTTATATTTCATACGTATGATATACTTATTTATAATTTTCTCCCAATCTGTGGCTCGTCTTTTCATTTTCTTAAAGATGTCCTTCAAAGAACAGAATTTTTAATTTGAATAAAATCCAATTTATCAAATTTTTCTTTCATGGTTCATCTTTTGTCCTAAGAAATCTGTAGCCAACCAAAGATTTTTCTCGAAACAGTGTTTTCTCATAGATATGTTATAGATTTTGCTTCCAGATTTGTTCTATAATCAATTTCAAGTTTCTTTTTTGTACGATGTGAGGTAAGAACCAAAGTTAACATTTTCCCACATGGCTATTCTATTGTTTCTTCCTCATTTCTTGAAAGGACTACCCTTTCTGCAATGAATTACCTTAGCACCTTTGCCAAAACTCAATTGCCCAAAAACAAAGTAACAATTGACTATATAACTGTGGGTCTACTTCTGGTCCTTCCCTTTTACTTAAGAAAAATTTCTTTATTTCACCTTAATTTTTTGAAGTATTTTCACTGGGTATAGATTTGGAAATTTTTCAGCCATCATTTCTTCAAAATATTCTTTTTAATCTCCATAGACACTCCCCACAGCCACTTCCCCATTTTCCTTTTGGGAATCTACATGTATATTAGATTGCTTCATACTGTCTCATATTTCACTGAGACTCTGTTTGTTTTTGCTATTTTAGTCTTTTTCTTTCCATAGTTAATTTTGGAATGTTCTATTGCTGCCTTCACGTTCACTGACTTCCTCTTCTATAGCATCTAATCTGTTAATCCCATCTTGTGAAATTGTCAGTTCAGAATATTGTATTTTTCATCTCTAAATCAATTTGATTATTTAAAAAAAAATTTTTTTTTTGGCAACTTCTATTTCCAGCATTATTTTCCTCTAAGGCGAGTTCAGCCTCACTATTAAGGTGTGGGAGGGCTGGTCAGTCAGCTCAGTTTGTTAGAGTATGGTGCTGACAACATCAAGGTCCAGGATTCGATCCCTGTACCAGCCAGCTGCCAAAAGAAAAAAGAAGTGTGACCCTTCTGGAATCTCTACTATATACCCTATGTATTCAGCAAAATCTCTCCACTTTGGCTGGTGGGAACTCACATGATTCCCTACCCCGTGTGAGCTCTAGGAATTGTCCCACTTACGGATTCCCAGTAACTGTTCTCTTCCCTAAACTTGTGTTTTGCTTCATGCAGTTTCGCTCTATGCGTGCGCAGATTAACAGTCTACCAAAGACTTAAGGGGATCCCTACACTATTTCTGGAGTTCTTCCTCTGTCCAGCTCTCTCTTCCCGTACTCTGCCCCACCAGTTTCAGTAATGTTAACCTCCCCAAATTTGAAGCTTTGTCTCCTCAACTCGGAGACCACTGACTTCTGTGTGGCTTCCCCTACCAGATCCTGGAAACTGCCTCATCCCCAGGCTCCCCTCGCTTGTCCCACTTCACTCAGGCATCACAGGACTGCACTGCCCAAAGTCCAAAGTCTGAAAACAGTTGTTTCACATTTTTTATTGTGTTTCCTAGTTGTTTATTGGGGGACGTGAAATTCCAACCCTATTTTTCCCTTATGGTTGGTCACAAAAGTCTTCTTCCATTGCGTTTTTAGAAGTTGATTTGGTTCTGTTTAAATATCTGTGGTCATTTTCATGGTAATCTGTTCCCTACAAATATTTTTAACATGTCTTTTATTTCTTTGTAGTAAAATAGCAGTTTTTACTGTATCTGACTATTTTAATATCTGATGTCTTTGTGGGTTAATTAAATTCACCTGTCGTTTCTGTTGGCTCTTTCTCATGACATCATTGTCTTTGTATTCTTATTACACATTTTTTCCTAGGCTACTCTAATTTTAAAAATTCAAAAAAAAAGTACAAAGTAAAATGAAAAGAAAAAAGTTCTGTCAGGGGGTTAGGGGGGTTGGGGTGATGTCTGTGTGTGATTTAAATCCCTACAGACTCTAGCAGATGATTGTTTTAAGCTTACGCGGTGTTGAGACTTTTGACCCACGAGCCTAGACCTTGACTCTGAACTTACCTGCTGTGTCCTGATAAGATCACTGGAGAAGGCATGAGTAAACTTTACATTATTCAGAAATACACCAGTAGCTGCTGCTTGTTTAACTCCAGTTTCTGAAAGAGGTTCATCTACTCCTTGTCCTGTAATATTAAGAGGAACAGTAACATTTAAATATATATATAAGGGATTCAAATTAAATCACATGTATGAGAATCTAAACTGTGTTCACCTATATTTTAATGAAAGATTCCCTTGAGTACCTTTCCACATAACTTTTCAGAGCTAACCGCAAGTAAAATTAAGCTATAATTTTATAAAGGCCCGGGTACTCAAATGTTTTCCTAAAGAATGTTGCCTAATGAGAATTAGGTGATGACGAGAATACAACTGTCTTAGCTTTTCTTCCTTTTGTGTTTACCCATCTCATCATTATTATGTTTTATAAATGTAAGCTCTGACCTTACAGGCGCTGGGTCAGGATGGCAGGATCATCACCTAAAACATTTTCCCTCTCTAACTCCATTGTCCAAATGCTCACTATTGTAATGGTATTACTTTTCTTCTTTCATCCCTCCCTCTCCCTCCCTTTTTCTTTTCATTTTTATTTAAAAAATGCTTTGGAACCCCTATTTCCAGAGGAAAGGCTGATTAGACACTGTGAAGGGCCTTCCTACCACAATGGAACCAAATGGTGTGTGTGCTGCATTGCTACTGGGCTCACAGGATATAAGGAAAATCTCCAAGGGGCACAGCAAAGCAATCAAAATCTCTGATCTGAAATGTGAATAATGATGAGAAAAATGGAGTGCCGGCCGGTGGCTCACTTGGGAGAGTGCGGTGCTCATAACACCAAGGCTACAGGTTCGGATCCCATATAGGGATGGCTGGTTCGCTCACTTGGGAGAACGTGGTGCTGACAACACCAAGTCAAGGGTTAAGATCCCCTTACCGGTCATCTTTAAGGAAAAAAAAAAAAAATGGAGTCACTGTGATATCAGAACAAGTGGCGGGAATGGTGGAGGAGGCTTGTTTCAGGGACACAAGGTGGGAGAACTAAACAATATTCTTGGAAGCTAGGGATCTTGTAAGGAGGTCAATGTAGTCCCAGGCTAGTCATAAAATCAAATGCAGATCCTCTTCAGAGAAAATCATCCTCAATAAAGGCTAACAAGTGCTCCACTAATCTAGAACAAATAATAGTTCAGTCAGAGATTAACCACATGAGAAAATAATCCATCAAGAATGAAAGTCAGGAGAAACAACAAATAACAGATTTAGAACCACTAAGACTTCAGACATTGAAATCAGCAAATACAGACTATATAATAACTAAGAATAAAACATAAAGACGGAATAACAAAAATAAGTGATTAATAACAAAAATAAGTGATTAACAGGAAGCATCAAAAACCAGACGGCTTTCTAAAAAACCCAAATAGATCTTCTAATAATGTTTTTTTTGTATGGGGATCTGAACCCATGACCTTAGTGTTATAAGGCTGTGCTCTAACCAGCTGAACTAACCAGCCAGCCTAGAACTGTGGAGGGGGAAATCCCTCCACGGATAAAGATTTGGTTGAAGGGAGGCTTAATGAACTCAAAGACAGGGCCAAAGATATTATCCAGAACGTAGCACATACAGGGAGACGGAACATATCTCAGATACATTAGAGATATGAAGGAAAGAATGAGAATCCCTAACATGCATTGTTTTAGTTTGGGCTACTATAACAAAGTCCCACAGGCTGGGTGGCTGACAAAGAACATTTACTTCTAAGAGTTCTGGAAGCTGGAAGTTAGAGGTCAGGGTGCCATCGTGGTTGGGTTCTGGTAAGTGCCTTCTTCAAGGCTGCGGACTGCTGACTTCTCCTTGAAGTCTCACACGGCAGAAAAAGGGCAAGAGCACTCTCTGGGATTCCTTTTATAAGTGCTATTCATGAGGCCTGCACCTTCATTACCTGATCACCTCCCAAAGACCCCACCTCCTAATAACATCACATTGTGGGTTAGTATTTCAACATATGAACTTTGGGAAGACACACACACTACACACTCAGTCCATAAAATGCAACTAATTGGAACTCCAGAAGGAGAAAAGAGAAAATGGAGGCCAAAAAGATGAAGAGATAATGGCTGAGAATTTTCCAGAAATGAGGGAAGACATAAATCTACAGATAAAGAAAACACAATGTACCTTAAGCAGGACTAATTTTAAAAAATTTAAAAATCCCTCCTAGATATATTAAGGGAAACTTAGGAATAAATACCAAAATCAAAGAGAAGATTTTAAAGGCAGTAACAAAGACAGATTATCTACCATTTGACAGAGATTTTTTTTTTTTTTTAAAGAGACAGGGTCTTGCTATGTTGCCCAGGCTAGAGTGCAGTGCCTGTTCACGAGGGCGCAATCCCACTACTGATCAGTATGGGAGTTTTGACATGCTCTGTTTCTGTCCTGGGCAGGTTCACCCCTCCTTAGGCAACCTGGTGGTCTCCTGCTCTGGAGGTCACAGTATTGATGCTAAACTTAGTACAGAAACCCTGACAGGCATAGCGCACTACAGCCCAGAACTCCTGCACTCAAGCGATCCTCCAGCCTCAGTCTCCCCAGTAGCTGGGACTACAGGTGCAGCTATAGCGCCCAGTAGGCAGAGACTTCCTAACAGGTACAGTGAAGCCAAAAGACAGCAGAATAACACGTTCCAAGCACTGAGAGAACTGTTGGTCTAGAATTGTGTACTGAGTGAAACTATCTTTACCATCAGCATATCTACATATGCTAGAGGCCCTTTCAAAGAATATACTTCAGGAATGAAGATCTGAGATAAGAAATGATGAGCAGAGAATCTCGTAAATATAAATGTAAATCTGAACAAACACTTTCTAAACAACAAATGCAGGTAATAATGTCTATGTCAAGTGGTTAAGAAAAGAACAGGAGTAAGATACTAGACAACAGTAACAAAGTTCCTTGTATTTTTCAGAAGAAGGGATACTAATATTATACTTCATTAGGTACTGAGTGAATGTTTGTGTCCCCCCAATATTCATATGTTGAAATCCTAACCCTCAGTGTGATGGTACTAGGAGGTAGGGACTTTGGGAGGTGATTAGATCATAGGGTAGAACCCTTATGAATGAGATTAATGCCCGTATAAGAAGAGATACAGCTCTTGCTCTCTGCCATGTAAGGATCCAACCAGAAGACAGCTGTCTGCACACCAGGAAGCGGGCCCTCACCAGACACCAATCTGCTGGCATCGTCATCTTAGACTTAACAGAACTGTCAGAAATAAATGTGTACTGTTTAAGCCACCCAGTCTATGGTAATTTGTTACAGCAGCCCAAACTGACAAAGACAGGTATGAATGGTAAAAATATAAAGGCAATCATTAAAAGAATAGAAATGGTATATCATTTCAGAGCCACTAGAAAAGGTAAGAGGGGATTGAACAAGGAAAAAAAGAAAAACAAGCACTTAAGAAGTAAAAGCAAGTAAGAAGAAAAAGAAGCCTAGAAAAAGAATGGGGAAAACAACAACAAAAGAAAAAAGTCCCAATACACCACTAACCAGAATAAAGATAAACAAACTACTACTGCCAGTTAAAAGACAGATTGTACTTGCTTAAAAAGAAGTTACAGGGGCCGGCCCGGTGGCGCACTGGATAGTGTGCCGCTTGGGAAGCGCGGCGGCGCTCCCGCCCGAGGGTTCGGATCCCACATACAGACCGGTTCCCGCTCACTGGCTGAGCGAGGCGCGGGAGCAGCGCCGAGGGTTGCGATCCCGTTGCCGGTCCCTGGTCCGGTACGGGGGCAACACTGAGGGTTGCAATCCATTGCCGGACACGGAAAAAGACAAAAGACCCCCCCCCCCCAAAAAAAAAAGAAGTTACAGACTACTGAGATAACACTTAGAACATAAGCACACAGAAAGGTTGAAAGAAATAGTATGGAAAAATATGCACTAGGCAGATTCCAACCCCCAAATAGCTGGGGTACTATATTACTACCAGAAAAGAAGGACTTTATGAAAGAGGTCTTAGCAAGGATTGTGCGAAGTCTATAAATAATCAATGATCCAATTCCCTCAGAAGATGTAACAATTTAAAATTTTTATGTGCCTAACAAAATATCCTCTATCTATATAAAAGCAAATCATATAAATAGAAAACTCATAGAATTTCAAGTATTAAAGGATAAACTAGCCATCACAGTAGTAAATCCAACATACCTCACTCAGAAATTGGTATTAAGGCCATGCAGGCAAATTAGTAAATTTACAAAATTAGTATAGACGATTTGAAAAACAAAATCAAGAAGGTTAATTATTTGATATGTAAATCCAATTCCAACAATTAGAAAATACAGATATCTTCAAACATACAATGGAAGAAGTATAAAAACTAACCATGTTAACCAATTTCAAAGAAGGATTATCAAATAAACCAGAAAGTCAGAACACAAAGCAATTAAAAGTTAATCACAAAAGATAAAGAACTAAAACAAAAAGTCCAGTCATCTGGAAATTTTAAATAACTCATGGGCCAATGAAAAAATGATAATGGAAATTTAAACTATTTGGTGCTGAATGCTTATGAAATCACCACATATGAAAACTGTACATATGCCAACAAAAAATGGCACTTAGAAATATATAAGCCTTGAATGTTTTTTTTAAAAGCTATAACTTAAAGAACTAACCATTCAATGTACAAACTCAGGGGGGAAAAAACACAAAACAAACCAAAAAACCAGTGGGAACACAAAAACTTTTGTTCACATTCCATGTTCCCCTGTCAGCTTCTAATGAAATAAGACAACTGAGAAGTCCAAAGGACAAGGTAGTCAGGGACTTAAATCCACAGGATAATCTGGGTGGGGCACATGTCATTTGAAAACAAAGGTTCTTTGAACCATCAGACCAGTTAGTCTCCAGAAAAGAGTCAGACACACTGGGTTTGAAAATCAGTTTCTGCAAACCCAGAAGTTCCTTACTAAAAAATTAAAACTAAATGCTTTTATAATCACAGCACAGGAATAGCAGGTCTGGCTGAAAGTTCACCCAAGATATATATATATATATATATATATATATATA